TCAGAGAGCACCAAGGACCCCACAGTCTTCTTCTTCTTCCTCCTCCTCCTCTCCTCTTCTCCACAAACCCACCTCCCTTCTAGCACTGATGATGTTAGCTAGTTGGGTCATGAAATGTCTCCAAGAAAACTATCAAGATCAGAGAGCACCAAGGACCCCACAGTCTTCTTCTTCTTCCTCCTCCTCCTCTCCTCTTCTCCACAAACCCACCTCCCTTCTAGCACTGATGATGTTAGCTAGTTGGGTCATGAAATGTCTCCAAGAAAACTATCAAGATCAGAGAGCACCAAGGACCCCACAGTCTTCTTCTTCTTCCTCCTCCTCCTCTCCTCTTCTCCACAAACCCACCTCCCTTCTAGCACTGATGATGTTAGCTAGTTGGGTCATGAAATGTCTCCAAGAAAACTATCAAGATCAGAGAGCACCAAGGACCCCACAGTCTTCTTCCTCCTCCTCCTCCTCCTCCTCCCCCTCAGCCCTGATCCCTTCTAGCACTGATGATGTTAGCTAGTTGGGTCATGAAACGTCTCCAAGAAAACTACCAAGATCAGAGAGCACCAAGGACCCCACAGTCTTCCTCCTCCTCCTCCTCCTCCTCCTCTCCTCTTCTCCACAAACCCACCTCCCTTGTAGCACTGATGATGTTCGCTAGTTGGGTCATGAAACGTCTCCAAGAAAACTACCAAGCTCAGAGAGCACCAAGGACCCTCCGTGTCCTGATACCCTTCCCAGCACACACACACAGACACACACACACATAGACACACATGCACGCCCACACACATGCCCTAAGCGTGGCGCTCGACAACGCAGCTCCCTTCTTAGACCCCCCCGCGTCCGTCTGCAATATTCAGACCGGACGGTGGCCTTGAGTGTTGGCAGGAGGAGGGGGCGGGCGTTGCATTCCCACCCACCCCCTCTACAGGCTCCCAGTCGACGTGTTTAAAAACAACGCAATTCCAAAAACTGATAGAAAAGAGTAGGGGGAGTGCCGGGACGCTCGGAGTGGAAATGGGGGAGGGGGGGGAGGAGGAGGAAGGCGGGCAGTTTATCTGTCATTCAGCTGCGGTGATGAGTTCGTCCCGTCGGCCTCCTCTTCCTCATCTTTCATGCATTTGAGTCTCTGCCGGGCGAAATCTTCGAAGACGATGTCATCGTCACTGGGGCAGAAGAAAAAGGGGAGAGAAGGAAATGGGTCAGGGGGCTCGGGAAAAGCGGGCGGGGTGAAGGGGAAACTTCATTCTGCAGCCAGAGCCGTTTCCTATTCCGGGTAGTCCTCGACTTACAGGACTTAAGGAGCCGAGGTGGCGCAGTGGTTAGAGTGCAGCACTGCAGGCTACTTCAGCTGACTGCAGTTCTGCAGTTCGGCGGTTCAAATCTCACCGGCTCA